CCGGATGCAGCCCCGGAGCCGCGGGGCCGCGCAAGGGTGCGTAAGCCCCGCGCCGCCGTTCAGCCGGGCCATTACCTTGCAGGGCCCGCGAGCCGGTCGCGCCGGGCGTCGTCAGACATCAGTGGTCGTCACACAAATAACTCGCCTGCTCGCCAAATCCCCCGAACCAGCGCCCGCGTCGCTTTCTCTCTCTCTCTCTCTCTCTCTCTCTCTCTCTCTCTCTCTCTCTTTCTCTCTGTCGCTCTCTTTCTCTTCCTTGCTCTGTCGTCGAGCGAGTCCCGCGGCTGCCGCGTGCTATATAAACGAGGTCCTGTGTTTCATCATTTCAAAAAATTTGCCGCGCTCCGCTGCGCCCGGCTGGTAGTCCTCCCCCTCGCCCTCCATCGGTCACAACGCGCCTTTTGTTTTGTTCACCTGGTTGGCCGGCGTCCTGCCCGTCCAATCGTGCGTTATGGCCGGTCTGGCCCGCGGCCGGCGCGATACCTCGAGCGCGAACCGCGGTCGGCGAGCCGAGACCACCGACAGGCAGACACAATGCACTACGGCGGAGCGGGACGGGGCGGGGCTGGCTTACAATGCCCCCCGAGCTGGCCAGCCGCCACGCGCCGCCACGCCACCTGCCGCCCTGTCTGCAGAGTTCAACTCCAACGACACTTACGCGATGGAGAGGAAGCTCTTTGGTCCGCCGCGGGGTCCCGCGGCTGGTGGTGGCGCCCTCCGCACCCCAACACACATTGCGTTTTAAAAATAAACCTTAGGACTCAAAACGGACGGGTGACAACATTGCGCGGGGCCGGGCTGGGCGGCGGTGCGGGTGTAAAACGGAAACGGCCGGCCTGGACGGGACGCTCTTGACGGCGGCGTCGACGGCGGCGGCGCCCCGCTCGAAATTAAACGCTATAGGCTTGTCCCCGCGCTCCCCGAAACTCTCAGGTGGCGCTTAACTGCGGCCCGATGGAACAGGTCCAAAAAAATTGATATAATATGCTTTGACGCGTGTGATCTCAGCAGCGGGACCGTAACCGTATATTTATTTTTGTTACCCCTCCCTCGCCGCGGGTCGCGGGAAATTTATGAAAAATGAGATGAGCCGCCGCGTTCCCCGAAAGGGGACAGCAGCGACGCGTTACAAGACACACCTCATCACCACCATGCAGATTAGCGCTACCAATACCAATTCCAATATGTCAATGATCAACAGATCCTACTACACCACACGCTTCGTCAAACACTACAGGCTAAGTGAGACCACACGCACTCAAACGTTACTGCCAAGCAGACGGGGGGTTGTGTTTCGGGAGAGGGGTGTAGGTGAGCACTACAGGTTGAGGTCCAAGCACTGCAGGTCTTCCAGGCCGCGGGCAGGGCCGTGCATCTCATCTCACCCACCAGGCAGGGTGCTCGCACCTCGGCGGCGCGGTACATGGAGGCGGCCAGGGGGCCATCGCCCTTGTCCCGGACAGCGACGGGCAGGGTGTGGTACGGGGTGCGGCCCGGCCTGTCGCCGGGGGCGTGCCGGTGCCGGGGTTGCTGCTCCAAGAGGACGGCGCCGTCGGGTGTCGTAGCGGCGGCCGTCGGACTAGACGACGACGACGACGTAGGTGGCGGCGTTTCGTCGCCCGGGGGCGGCAGGTAGAGCTGCAGGCTGTGCAGCTCGCGCTCGTGGTACGACTTCCGGCGCCGCTCGAGCAGTGTCGGGGTTGTCGCCGATGCTGTCACCGCAGGGCCGACGTCCAGCTGCTGCTGCTCGGCCGGGGACGCGGCGCGACTGTCACCCGCCTGCGCCAGAGGCAGCACTGCCTGCGGCGGTGCGGGCCAGTGGTACAGCGTCGAGCTGTAGCTGTAGCGGCGGTGTGGTGCCGCCCCCGGGTCCGCCCCCGTGCCCAGCCCTGGCTGAAGCCCTGGCTGAAGCCCTGGCTGAGGCCCTGGCGCACCGCCGGCCGGCGCCTCGACTTGCGGCTCGGACGGCCGGCGCACCACTATTCTCGGTGTGCTGCCCTGGTAGCCGCCACCCGGGCGGGCGCCGCGACCGTCGAGGGGCGCGCCGGGCCCGTTGCAGCCGTATCCTCCCCCCGGAGGCGGACCGCTCGCGACGCCGATGCCCTGGTCGTGGAGGTCGCCGGCGGGGAGGCGGCGGCGCCACGGGAAGCCAGGCTGCTCCCAGGGCTTCTGGAAGAGAAACTCCAGGCTGCGCTCAAGAGGCACGACTGCGGCTTGAGGGGAGAGCGGGGAAGAGCAATGCAGAGACAGAGCGAGACAAAGACAGACGAATGGAGACGGACAAGGAGTGCGACCAGCTCGAAACGGGTAGTCGTCGGACCTAAAAATACCCTCGACACGCGCCTGTCATCACCTACCTCCTCAGCCAGCCGCCTGGTGGCCGCCCGCCCACCTTGACGTCAATACGTAAGACGACCCATTGTCAGGTGGCCCAGGCCCCATCCCTTCCCCTGACAGAGAGGCCCATCGGGCCCGCTTACATTTTAAGGGCTCCCAGTCCCAAGCGTTAGCCGTCCCTGACTCTGAGCGCGCCGTCGACGGGGACGTACCCTGCCCGCCCTCCCTGCCCCGCGCCCACGCGCACCCAGATGCCACAGGGATTGTGGCGTGCACCGTGTGCAGCGGGCGCGCTGAGTTGTTACCGATGCGCAGTGTAACGAACCACGAATAGATGTCCGACTAGTTGGAGTGGGCCCGGCGCGGCGCCCGGCTGGTGCCGCTGGTCGAGTTTACACAACACAACGCTGCAGCGGACATGGTTGTGGAGGAGGAGGGAGGATAGCATCAGAGTTTGTTGCACCCGAGCATCACAATGCTGAATTCCCCGCAAATCCCTGCTCCGCTTTTCGTCGCCCCATATCCCCCACACTTTCCGCCTCGAGTCCGCTTCCCAGGGTGGGCCTTCCTCTACGTACACTCTCTGTGAGTCGGGGGTGAGTTTCGCATCGACGGTTGTGGACCCCGAAAGAGCGGGGAGGGGGGGGGGGAGTTGCAGTTCTAGTTCTGCAGTCGTGAAGTGGCGCAGCGGCGAGAGGGAGGGGGGATTTACGGTATTGTCTCCGGATGTGTCTCCTGAGAGAAGTGCCGGCTGAGTATGCGCTTCGGAAAGTAACTGGCCGTCGGCGCCCGCCCGACCCAGCCCCGGCCTAAGTGCACTCATTGTAGAACGGCGAGCCACGCCGACGCCCGAAGCCGCGGCCCGCGGCCCGCGGCACGCGGACGGGGAGGGGTGGAAGTTGATCGCGGCACCACGCGTGGGCCCTCGGACCGCCTCGAACACGAAGCCGCACCGAGGCGACATTTTGAAACAGAAACGCGGCAAAGAGGACTTCATGGATAGGTGGAGGTAGGTGTGTGCGGACGGATGGATGTGGTCGGGCGAGAGAGAAGGAGGTCATTCCCTACCCCCCTCTCCCCCTCGTCCTTCTGCTCCTAGCTGTAAACATTGGCATGTCGCCACACCGCCCGTTTAGCAGGGATGTCCGCGTCCCTGACGCCGTGCCAGCGCCGCTACCCCGCGCCACAGGAGGATATTCGCGGGAACGACGTTCACGTTCACCTGGCGTGGAGTACGTCCTGGTCCCAGACAAGAGTATTGCCAGCCAGAACAGTCTAAGACCGAAAGACATCATCAGTCCAGAATACTGAGATTTCGCGAGTTCGCGTCAGTGTTCGCGTCGCAGCTGTTTAGTCAAAACAAAACAAAAACAAAACAAACGACGCTATGTGTGTGCGCTCTTTGAAAAGGAGCGTTTGTTCACAGACGAGACAAATTTAGTATTTACATGGGTGAAAAGGGAGCCTCTATCACGCTAAGCCTCAATGCGCGGCTTGTACGGCAGCAGCGGTGGAAGCCCACCGTAAGCTATTTTCAGGGGGGTGCGTGGTGAACCGTGACAGTGCTGTTGTGACACGTGACACCGATGTACCGGTGCGTCGGGCCGTGAGGCGCCGTTACACGCCGAGCTGTCTGGGCCGCGTGACATGTTGTGACGCGGGGCGCCCGGCGCGCTGAGCTGACTCCCTCTGTCGCTTCGTAAGCTGAGACAAATTCTAGCCCCTGCTTTGACAGAACAAACGGCCAAACACGGGCAACTTTTCCGGTCCCCCTGACTTCCATTGCTCGTCACTCACCTCCCCAGTCCCGGCCGGGTCGTCGACGACGCCCAGGTTGATGTTCCGGAGGAGCTGCTCTATGACGCCGGACGACGGCGAGCCGTCCGCCGACTGCCCCACTGGATAGGCGCCGTCCACGAACAGGTCGGGGGCTCCGCGCGGCTGCATCACCGGCATCTGAGGGTCGTCTTCGGTGTGCGCCGGGGACGACGACGATGATGCCGCGGCCCACGACATCTCCGGGACCAGCCCGTCGAAGCCGAGGGCGCTGCCGTTGACGTGGCCGCCGTTCAGCCCGTGGGCGAGGGGAACCTCGGTGCCGTAAGCGTCCTCCTGGTAGAGACCCGTCAGTGGAATCCCCGTCGAGGGGTCGACGGCGGGGATGAGCACGCCGCCGACTATGGTGCCGGTGGCGTAGCCGTACGCCGCGGGGTACTGGAAGGGGTCGCGGGCCAGGTCCGCGGTTGTCAGGAACTGACCGGCCGCCCCGCGCAGTGGCTTGCCCTCTGCGCTGACGAGGTACTGGTCGCACCCGAGCTGCACCCCGGGCTGCGCGGGCTGTGGCGTGGGCTGCGGCGCCGGCTGCGCCGGCTGCTGTGGCTGCTCGGCCGGGGCGGGCTGGTGCTCTGGCAGCGGCTCCAGCAGGAAGCACACGCCCTTCTTTCGGGGGATGATGGGGGAGGCGCCCTGATCCTCGCCGCCCGTCTGCGGGGAAATCAACCTCCGGAGTCGTCAAACTTCCGCGGAGTGCGGATCACCAGGATTACCCACCGGATCACCCGGGCGACAGCCACACCTACCTGTGAGTCGGTCTGGTCGTTCTCCGTCTCTTCTTGCACGACGCTCAGCATGTCGAAGTCCACCTGGCGATCCCGGGAGGTGGCCGCACTCTTGGTCGCGTCGTCCTGGGCAGGGTCCGCCTCGACGCGCTCCGCGGCGCGGTCACCGCCGGCTCCATCGTCGTCCTCGTCCTCTTCCTCCTCCTCCTCCTCTTCCTCCCCGCTCTGCTCTCCGTCCTCTTCCTCCTCTTCCTCCACCTCGCCCTCCTCCTCGTCCTCGGAGAACTCGTCCGAGGCGTCGCCCACCTGCTTCCGCTTGAGCAGCGCCTCCAGCTTGTCGTACTCGTCGCGCAGCCCCCACAGCTCGCGCCGCAGCTGGTCGTTCTCCCGGCGCAGCTTCTTTATGTCGTCCTGACCTGGAGGCACAACCACAACGATTCAAAATCAGCTTTTCACCCGAAATAAATGAAACAAACACTGAATGTATGTTGTTGTATTTATGTATTTATGGTTGATCGAAAGGTGTTCCGAAGACACAAGAGGACCTCCCTGCCTGGTCAGCTGCTGGCCGGTGCGCTTGTGAATGGCGCTGTGTGGCTGGGCGCCAACCACCCGAGGGTAATAATCCCCGTGTCCCGTCCCGTCGCGAGCGCGTCAGTCTCCCGCGGCGGCGGCGGCATTCCTCTGGCGCTTGTCCGCCGGCCGCCCCGCGGCTCCGCCTCTCCTCCTGACACTGACTAAATAAAAGTGGCGTCCCCGCGATGATTTATCCCCCGCCCGCGCGGGCGGATCAGCCTCGGATCAGCAGCGCCTCGGCTCATCAGTCAGACGCCCGGCCGCCCGGGGCATTGTCCCCGAGCCGTCCGCTCGCCACGTGGTGGTGGTGGTGGTGGTTGTGGTGGTTGTGGTGGGGCGCCACGTGGTGACGGCGGTAGCATCGCGTGTCGCGGGGCGATCCCACCGGGAGATGAGCAAGCCGCTCCTTCTCCTCCAGCAAAGGCCATATCGAGGAGGAGATGACGCTCGTCACGGGGGGCGCCACCACCACCGCCAGGTGAAGGGGAGGCGACAGAGAGGGGCCTCCTCGCGGTGCCGCCGTCGCGGTGGCAGCACTTTGGCCGCTTGCTGCTGCTGCTGCTGCTCCTCCTCCTCCTCCCCCTCCGCCCCCCGCGGCGACCAGCACGCAAATTCCATTTTCGCGCAGCGCAGAGGCAGCACGGTACACCAGGCCGTACCACCGCGCACCTCCCGCAGGCAAAGCCTTTGTGCGCGTCGGCAACTTTGCGCGATAAGAGAAAGAGACCGAGTCGACGGAGAGGTGCTGCGGCGCGACGCGACGGGGGCGAGTGAGAGAGGGCGCGGGGTGTGGCTTTTGTCCTTAGCGCTTCCTGGACTCCGGCCGCCCACCTCTCAGGAGAGCGTCCCCCGGGGGCGCTGCTGCGGCCACGCCGGCCGGCCTGCTGGGGTGGCTTTATGCCGGACCACGAGAGTACCGGGCCAACACTCTGCTGACCACTTAGCGGGGAGGAAAGTGCTCTTCATAAAATGTATGCCCGAGTA